CCTGCCGGGGGGGTTGGGGACTGCTGTCCTGCTGGAGAGGCTGGGGGCTGCTGTCCTGCCGGGGAGGCTGGGAGCTGCTATCCTGCCGGGGGGTCTGGGGGGTCTGGGGGCTGCCGTCCTGCCGGGGGAGCTCCGTGCCGGGTGGGAGGGACGGCAGCAGCTTGTATTTCTGGAACATGAAGGTGGCTGAGCTCTGGAAGCTGCCCCTGTCCCCAGAGTCCCGCTCAGGCAGCCGGGGCTGCACACCCTCTACTGCCCCCGCTTTCCCCCCCATGGCCTCTTTCTGTTCCTCCTCGTCCTCCTGGTCCCCCGGCCCCTCTGCACAGCTGAGGGGTCCTTGGCTCTCCTCAGCTTCCACCGGTGTCTTCTTCAAGCTGAGGTCCAGCACCATGTCCTCAGGGGACAGCTCCTCACTGTCCATCCTGTCCGGGCTGCCCTCCTGACCCTCCGGCTCTTGGGGCTCAGGCTTTGGCTTTTTAGGGACGTTTCTGTAACAGCTTTGCCCTTGGCTCTGCTCGCTGCCTGACCTCAGACAGGACACCACCGAGGCGTCTCTGAGGGCAGCAGGCTCCTGGCAGCCACCCCTGTTTTGGGGTGGGGACTCCTCCCACAGATGCTTCCTGCAGAGGAGGATGGTGTCTGTGCYCTTGGCCATCTCCAGGAACTCCTTGTACGGTGCCAGGCTGAAGACATTGTGGATCACCGGCATGGGTGGGGAGGATGACAAAACCTTGGTGTCCCTGGGCTCCTCCAGCCCCTTGGCAGGGGTCACGGGTGGAGAAGGGYGGGCGAGCTCCTCTGCTGGACCCTGGACCGTGCAGGAATCTCCCTTCCCTGCTCCCCCGGCCGGGCTGCTGCTCTTCCTCCCAGGGTACGGCTGCTCCTGCTCGCCTTGCCTGCCTTCCTCCCAGCTCCCTTCTCTTTTGGGAAAYGTCTCAGTGAGCCCACCACAGAGCTTCTCTGCGCTGCAGACGGGCTGGAAAGCGCTGCTRCGCCTCACCACCGCTCGCCACCGCGGCCCGTCCTCCCCGTGCGGCTCACAGCCCAGCTCCATGCCGGGTACCGAGGAGTGGAGCGTGGCCACATCGCCGGGATCGATGGCAAACCCGGGATAGCCGCGGCTCCCGGGCAGCTCGGCGTCCCTGGGCAGCTCAGCGTCCCTCAGTGCCACCCCCGGCTGGGCAGGAGGCGATGCCACCGCCCTGGCACCTGCTGCCCTGGGCACAAAGCGCTCCAAGGGGCTGGGGAAGTAACTCCTCGGGGCGTGGGCCCTGAGGTAGGTGCTGGAAAAGGGCTCCCTCGGGGCATAGCCAAAGCCGGGCAGGGCAGCGGGCTCACCCCCAGGGGGATAGAGGGGGCCAGGTCTGCGGGGTGACAGCGGGTACCGGGGCGGTGGGTAGCACATCGCTGACCTCTCCCGGCTCACCGGGCCGGCTTCGGGGGGCTGCAGCTTGGGCCAGGGCTCCGGGCCGAGGCTGGGCACCTCCAGCACCTTCTTCTGGCTCTGGGCAGAGGGACAGTGTGCTTCCAGGAAYGGGGCGCCGGGGGGTGGCCCGTACTTATCAAAGGTGACGTAGTAGGTGGGGAGGGCAGCGGGGGAGCCCAGCGGTTCCTGGGGAGGCAATGCCAGGCCGGGGGACAGCGGCGGGAGGGCACGCTCAGAGCACGGGCCCCTCTTGTGGGGCTCACCGGGGCGGGCAGCCGGGGGCAGAGCCCAGTTTGCCTTCCCCGGTCTCTGGTGCAGYGGCAGAGCCCTCCTGGCAGCCAGGAAGCACGGGGGGGCTCCGTACACCGGCTTGGGGACGGCCAGCGGGGCCGCCGTGTTCACCGCCACCGGCAAGGGGCACCGGGGGCTGTCCGGCCTCTTCCCGGCCGGCAGCTGCTCCTGGGCCAGGCTGTCCTTGCTCCTGCGGGCATTCAGAGCCTGCAGCCTGGCGCCCAGGCTGTCCGGAGGGTACAGCAGGAAGCTGAGCAGCGGCCCCTCGGSCGGCACAGGCTGGCTCATGGCACCGGGGCCGTGCTGCCCGTATGGGCTCCAGCGGGCCGGGGGCTGCTCGGGACCCTCGGGGCTCTGCAGACGGCAGCTGAAGTAGGAGCCCTTGTAGCTGCAGCGGCTCTCAGAGCCAGGGTGAGGTGCGGGGCCGGGTCTGCCMGGGGTTTTGCCGGGCAGGAAGCCGGCGGCGGGCTCCGCACGAGGTAGCTTGGTGAAAATGACGGGGTCTGCAGACTCCGCGTACCGCTTGGAGGCCATTCAGACGGTGCTGCCGGTGTCCCCAGGGGAGAGGTGAGCTGGCCTCACTGGAAAAGAGAGAGAATAAGCCATGAGCAAAGCAAAGCCCCACAGCCCGCGGTGGCACAGGGTGACACAGGGTCACAACCCGCCCCAAGGTGAGGGTAACTCAGGTTCTTGTYAACAGATCCCTGGGGGGTGATTAGAGAGAAACCATGTCGCAGTCACCATTTAAAAGCACAACGACCACCAGAGATGATCTTGCAAATCTCGTTTATTCCAACCCCAACCACGGCTTTTATACCCTCGTTACTAACGGTAATCAACGTCACTTAACGGTAATTAACGATTACTAACGTTYACTAACGGTAACCACCGTTAAGCTCTCCMCAAAACGACACGGAATGATCAGTGTCTATACATTTATATACACGATGGCTTTATTTTTAAAAAAAATTGGTGCTATTTTGGTTATTATCTATTGTAACRCAGCAATATAAAAGCGTAAAAACAAACGCTTCAGAAAACGTGTAACAAAGAGAGAGAGAAAGGTAAGAGGAGAAGGGGAGAGCAGAAAGATCCCATCACCCGTGGGTCTTGCAACAAGACTCGGTTGCTGCAATTCCACGGTGATGGGGAAATCCCTGGGCTGGGGAAGCTCGGCAAACACCAAGTTCCATGGTTGATATAAAGCCAGGAAACACCAAGTTCCACGGGCTGATATAAACCCAGGAAACACCAATTCCAGGTGTTGATATAAACCCAGGAAACACCAAGTTCCAGGGGCTGATAAGCCCAGGAAACACCAAATTCCAGGGGTTGATATAAAGCCAGGAAACACCAAGTTCCACGGGCTGATATAAACCCAGGAAACACCAAGTTCCAGGGGTTGATATAAAGCCTGGCAAACACCAAATTCCAGGGGTTGATAAGCCCAGGAACGCCCAGGTTCCTCCCCTGGRGCAGGGAGTTTTCCTCGGGATGATGCAATGTGGGGATCACGGGACACCTCGGAGGATTTGTTTGCCCGTGACACCTTTGAAGCTGTGTCAGTGCAGTGGAGAGGCCAATTATGGCCCATCAGCAGGGATGAATACCTGCGGGCAAGGGGAATTTTCACAGCTGAGCCACTCACAGCAGGATCAAAAGGCACAGCACAATCCCACCTCCCCCGCAGGATTTGTCTGTTATCAGCCTCTTCCCTTATCTCTGCAGCGTCCTCCCCTCTGCACCTGGTCCATTGTTGGATTCTTTAACCATCAACATTCCAGCCTCTTACACCACCGTGAGTGACTCAAACATTCCGTCGGTTCTCTGCTGCTGCTCGCTCCAGACTTTCTTCCATGGTGGTGATTTTCATACAATTTTCACACAAYCATGTGACATTTTCTATTATTTTTGCCTAGATTACTCAATTCTCCAGTTAATATCTCTTAAAAATTTAGCCACATTGTCATAAATTTAAATCCTTCTGAGGTAGAACATGGAAAGTTACTACATTCTTCTTTTTTTTGTTTTTTCTCCAAATATGCATAAATCCTTGTACTACCTCCCAGACTCAGTTTGGTTGAGACAAAATTATACACCCATAAGATTGAAAGCTCTTCCCACATCATTTCTTTTCCCGGTAAAAAGAGGAACTAAAAATAGCAAAAATCAAACTAACAATGTCTAAGAACGGTTTGACTAATATTTTGTCTCCAAACGAGTTATTTTGGATGAAAACACAAATAAAACGACTAGAAATAATCTTAGCATGAAGTTTTAGTGCATCAGGCAGGCCTCRGATCGAGACAGGGAATCTCCCCACAGGGAATTGTTGCTGCAGGTCCGACAATTGTGTGTGCATTAACTGGAGATGTGCAGAATTTCCTATACTTTCTGCAATCCTGGGCACTTTAATCGTGCAGGGATCTCCCCTTTTCCATAGGACCTGCTAAGCAGGRAGAATCCTGGAATGCTGGCTGGGCATTTCTCCATCTGTCTCCTTGGAAAAGCCCTGGAAATCTCCAGCAGCTTTGGTTCCAAAGCCTCAAAGAGCGTCTGCTGGAGGCAGCAGGGAGCAAAGCTGGGTCAGYTCAGGTGAGGAGCCAGCAGACACAGACACAGCATGCCCAAAATTCCCATCCCAGCTTTGCCTTTCAAACTAATTCGAGGTTTTTGCCCCAAGGCAGCAGCTCACCCTCWCCCTTAGGGGGATTTGGGGCCGCTGTGGGGTGGGCACAGTGACAGGGGGTGGGTGCCAGCAGGTGGAGCTGGCAGCCTGTCCCAGCGCTGTCCCGCATCCCTGAGCATCCCAAGGATCCTCCCAGGATTACCTGGGATCCCCAACCCCTCCTGAGCATCCCACTGAGACACCTGAGCGTCACCTGAGCCCCAGAGCACCGCTGGACCATCAACCAGGATCCCCCCCGAGCATCCTGCACATCACCCRGGACACCTGAGCATCACTGGACMATCMACCAGGATCCCCCCGAGCATCCTGCACATCACCCAGGACACCTGAGCATCACTGGACAATCCACCAGGATCCCCCCGAGCATCCTGCACATCACCCAGGACACCTGAGCATCACTCAGCATGCTCCCAAATGTCTCCCACCACGGCCCAGAAACCTCTGCAGTAGGATGTCCTCCACGTTTGATTTTTTTTTCTCGCCTTTTGTGGCAGAGTTGGCAGAGAAGCCAAGGAGGAAATGGAGGAAGAGCACATGGAGATAAGATAAAAGCCACATCAGCAGCAGGGGAAACGGAGCAGATATGGGGKGAGACTTGTGGGGGGAGATAAGGGACCGGCGGTGGGGCTGCAGCTCTGCCCAGCCCCTGCTCACCGCAAAGCAGCCCACAGAGCCTTCCCGGTGGGCTTCTCATGCAGGCTTCAACAATCTCTTGCCTTCCAGGAAGGACCCCGCTTCTCTCTGAATCCTGGAATCCTCTGAAAGCTCCCACGGGAAGGTCGGTGCTTCCCTTCCTGCCTGCACCYTTGGAAGCAGCTCCCCCACACCATTTCCAGCAGCTTTATCCTCAAGTTAAGTCCTCGGGGTCATTTCCAAGACCGATTAAATTCACCAGCACTTGGATCCAGGAAAAACAGCTCCCTTCAAATCGAAAAAAATCCAGAAGAAAGCCCCAAACTGGGATATTTTCCTTCCAAAAGGAATCTCTCGGGAGGGTGGTGTTTAAATCCGTCTCCCTGGGAGATGCGKCGTGGGAGGGAGGCGCATGGGACGTGGACAAGCTGGGACAGAAATCCAGGATCTTGTGAGTCCCGACGCTTCCCCACTGCTCCTTCCCCTTTCCCCGAAGCCCCGGGGGATGTGCCCCGGGGTCAGCGGGGGGATATTGTGACACTGGCCCCGCTGTCACCACGGGACAGGGTGACGCCACCGGGGCACGATGCAATCGCTCTGTTGGACCCAGCTCCGATTTAAATTCTCGCTGGGGGGATGCAGAGCAGGACGAGCCATCCCCCAGCAGCGGCGGGAGCCAGGAACGTGGATTATCTGATCGGGCTGGGCTCTTTAATCAAATTAGGGTGAGGGCACCCACGGGCTCCCTCTTTCCATGAAATCCACCGGGGCTTTGCCCAGCCACTGCCAACCCCCGCTTTTTCCCAAAAAAMCAGCTCTGCTTTTGCTGTCACCATCAGCCTTTTCCCTCTGGGGTTATCCGCCTTGCAGCCAGCGCGGGAGGAGAGGGACACGTGGGAATCGGGGCTGGGGGGATGCCTGGAAGAACCGCAACACACACAGCCAGTAATTCCGAAACGGCACGGCTGGGAAAAGCAGCGGGTGGAATAAACACAACCCGTTATTCCTCCTTTTTTTTTAAATGTTCTTTTCATTTTCCCCCCCTTCCTTCTTCTTCTCCGGGTTTTGGTTTTTTCCCACAAGGGGCCGCTTGGCCGGGAGGGAGTAAAAGTAAAACCAAACGCGGAGAACACGTGCCGCCACCAGCGAAACCTCCCCGGTAAACTCCCGCGGGCTTCAGAAAACCTTATCTGCCGCCTTTCGGGTGTCCAAAGGGCACCGAAGGGCTCGCGTCCCCGCTCCGCCGGGCTCCTCGGCCTGCCAAGGCTGTTGGGAACACCTCGGCCATCTCTTTTTGCTCCGGCAGCTCCGAACAATGCGCCCGTGTGTGTTATCAGCGGGGCGGCCAGGCGCGGCACGCAGGCTCCCCGGAATTTCCTCCCCGGGATGCGATGCCCCGCAGCGGGAACCTCTCACCGCAGTCTCCCGCCTCCCTCCTCCTCCTCCTCCATTGCCACGTGATGCCGAGAAAGCCGCCAGCTCCCGGCCAACCCGCAGGAATCGAGAAATAAAATCTCCCRAAGCCGCTGGCACCCAGCGCCCCCAGCCCCGGCGAGCCACCCCCGAGGGGCTGCGGCGGGGGGAGCTCCTGGGTCCCCCCGAAACCCCGAAATCCACGGGCTTCTCAACCGGGAAGGGAGGCGGATTCCCGGCGGCTGCAATCTCGGTTTCACAATCGCGGGGACTTTGGGACCCTGCCGAGCAGGTCACCTTTCCCATCTCCGGCGGGTTCGGATGAGATCACCGGCATCGCTCCCCCCGCCCCGTTTCGGTCATTTGGGGGAACAAGCGAGAGGCCTCAGCGGTCCCGGCTCCCTCATTGCCCGTCTTGTCCCTGCTCCACAAAGTTTGCAGCTCCCGCGCTTCTCCCGGGCGGGCAGAAGCCGAGCCGGAGCCTTCCCGTGGACCAAGGTGGCTCAGAATCCTTATGGAATGCGTGAACCAAGGCACGGCTTGTCTCCGAATTAGGCTGAAACCCCCCCGCCCCACACACCAGAAATATTCAATTTTATGAAAAAAMCCCCAAAACTTCGCGGAGCATTGAGCAGCCACAGAAGGGCTCAGTGACTACGTCCCTTTGTACTTGGGGGATTAAAAGCTCTCCAAAATTCACAGATCCCATTCCGACCCACGGATGTCACATCCACGGTCACGGCCGGGACCCCCCCTGCGCTGGCCAGGGCACGAGGTACGGATGTGGCGGGGGTGGGTGGCTGTGTCCGTCCTGTCCCCTCCGCACACCCACGGCCACCGCTTTCACGTGGGCGACACTCCGGCGACCCCCAAAATAACCCTCTCGCAGGAGCTTGAGCGCACTCACGCTGCCAAGCAGCCGCATGATCCAAAGTGTCCATAAATGGGTAAAATCCCGGGATCCCGAGCCTGCGACCCGTTTTTCCCGGGCATGGCCCAACGAGAACCAGATGATCCCGAGGAAGGCGTGCAGGGTTCCCCCGCTGCTCGAGGGTTTCACCCGCAGACTGAGTCCTGTGACGAGCGGGGGACAGGCTGGGGGTCCCCCCGTCCCGCTGCCCCCGCATCCCTCCGCTCCACCGCGGGACGCGCATCCCTCGGGCCCGCACTCACCTGCGGCAGCGGCGCGGTGCCTCCCCCGGCGCATCGCTCCGGGCTCGGCTGGGGGGGCTCGGCGGGAGCGGGGGGGCTCTGCCCCTCCTCGGCCGGCAGCCCGCGTTTTGCGGAGGAAGTGGGAGGACGAGGAGGAGAGGGCGGAGTAGGAGGAGGGCCGGGTGTGCGTGTGGGCCGGCCGGAGGAGGGGAGGGGAGGGGACGGCACGGGAGGGGACAGCCCCGCCACATGTGCGCTGAGCTGCCGGGGGCTCTGCCCGTGCGCTCGGAGCGGGGACGGGCCGGGACAGTGACATCAGCCACGTTACGGGGTCACCCGCGGCGGGAGGAGCCCCCCGTTATAGAGGAGGGGTCGCATGGGGAGCCCACGCTGGGGGGAGCCGCATTAAGGGATGCCCCGTTATATAGAGCTCCCATTAAAGGGAATCCCTATTGAACGGATCCCCCATTAAGGGGACCGCCATTTCAGGCAGTTTCCATTAGGAAATATTCTCCCATTAAGAGGAGACCCCATTATGGAGGACGGACAAGCAATCCCGATTAGGGAGAGACTCCCATTAAGGATCCCCCATTAACAGGCAGCCCTATTAGAGAGAGACCCCATAAAATACACCTCACTACCAAGCAGCCCCCATTAGAGAGGAATCCCAATTAAGGACCCTCTACTAACAGGCAGCCCCATTAGAGAGGAACCCCATAAAGAATCCCCCACTAACAGGCAGCCCCATTAGAGCCCCCCCAAGGAGGGGACCCCCCAGTGCAGACCGCCCCCAAATCAATCCCAGGTCACTGATTGTGGTGCGGAACGCTCAGGGCTCGGTACCAACTCCGCTCTGCCCGGTCCGGTTCAGGCGCTCCGTGGCCGCCGCGGTACCAAATCGTTAAAAACACGTGCGCGGCTCASCCGGAGAAGGAACAGCCTCACGGTAACAATTTTTTGCCGAATTGCACGCCCGTTAATACAGATGGGTATCACCGTGAGCCAGGAGCGCACCTTGGGCGGAGTCAATCGCTCTGTGTCGAGGCAGATCATAGTGTCTGTCTCTTAATTCTACACTGCTGTTCGGGAATTTTATTCCCGAATTTCGGGGACACAATCCACTAAGAGGATTCCCCATCACCGTAGGGATCCCCCCTGAAAGAGGAGACTCCCCCTCACAGAGGATTCTCAGCACGGGGAAAGCTCCCCCAAAGCCTCCCCCCACACCGGGACATGGCCGGAGTCTGTCCCCAAAGTCCATCTGTCCCCAAAAAATCGCTTTCCCGTCTCTCACAGGAACAGCGGGAAGCTGCGGGTCTCGCTGGCAATCTCTGAGGGGCTGGCGATCCTTCTGAGCCCCCGCCCCAAAGCAAAACCCCTCCTTCCTGCATTTAACCCCCGCAGCCCCGAGCATTTAACACGTAGCGTTCGTCTAAGGAGTCGCGTCTGGAAAAGTCCGTGCAAACATTCCCGGACTAATCATTAACCCTCATAAAAGGCACGTAAATATGATTAACCCAGTGACACAGATCCTGRGTGCGTTGCCCAAGGCCGTGGAGTGAAGCAGTGGCAGAAGCTCAGCTCCCTCAGGCAGTGAGAAATCAGGATTTTTAAGTGAAAAATAAATAATTCCAATTTTTCATCATTCTGTTGAACAAAGACCGAGCAGGTAGGGTTTGAATTCTCCTCTCCCTGGCCTCACAAGCATTATTTTCCACTTCCAGCTTTAATTTATAGCAGTTTTGTGGCAGCAGCAAAGAAAATAAGGATTTGGGAGCTGGTGCTGAATTCCCAGTCCCTTGGCTCTGAACTGCTTTGKCTGGAGTTCATCGATCAAACTGCTGCAATTAATGTTTTCTTTGGTCAAATGGCAATGCAATTAGAAAATAGTCATGRCATTTAATTATGAGATGTTATGTATCAGCATGCAATGTTGAATAGTTATTTTGTATTAAAAGAGCAAACAGGTGGATAATACAGCTTGTTATTTGGAGTTAYAGGCATTGAAACTATCGGTGTTAATTTTGACCTTGCTGAACAGAATCACAATTCCCCCGACGTGGCAGATAATCCCTTTCAGCTTGAGTTGGCTCATACATTTACATAGAAACACCTTTCCTCATTCCTGTTTGGCCATATCCCTGCTGCCAGGCACCCAGCTGGACTCTGAAAACTAAAATTCAACAATATTTTTCTCACTCTTACATTTCTCTGGCACAGAAGGGAGTTTCTGCCTGTTGTCTCATCAAATACCTGCTCTGTTTTGTTCTTTTGCCTCTGAATTTCCTTCTCTCCACTTCCTGTGCGATTTGTCTGTGTCAGCAACTCAAATCAGCTCCTTGCTGAGGCATCAAACCTGCAGGCACCATCAATCAGCACAGGCAACCTCAACAAACTCCCCACTATTTCATTTTTATTTTATTTTTTTTTCATTTTTACTTAACTAGTTTTATTAATTATTAATTTTTTAATTAATTTTGAAAGACATAAGCCCTTGGGAATGTGGCTTTGGGGGAAAGGTTGGYGGTGATTCCCACTCAGGCCACGGCCATTCCAACTCTTTTTGCTCCTCCAGATATCAGCATCCTCTGTGTTTGGTACCCAAGGATGGGGAGCGATCTCAGCACCCCCACAGTGTTGCTGTGAGCCTGGGGAGGTGAGGATTTGACTCATTTAGTCCAATTTTGGCCGTGTGGTTTTCAATTTTCTTGGCATCTGTCTCCGATCTGTGCTTTGCTGGGCTGTGGCTCCCTCTGAGYGCTCAGGAAACCTCCTGGCTCCAGGCTGCCACTGCCTCCAGGGTCCCCAAAATCCCTGTCCGACCTGGGACACCCCTCCTGGGGCCCACCCCGGCAGGCACAGGGATGAGGGGGCTCCAGGGGGGACTGTGGGGTTCCCCTCTCCAGGCAGCATTTGGGGTTCATTGCTGCTCCCCAGCCACACCACCTCTCCCATACCCCAAAAAAGGTCATTTTTTTGCCCCCAGTTTGCTCCCCAGTTTGTGCTGGTGCTAATTAAGCCCCTCAGGAGGATTCAAGCCCCTCGAAGAGGGAACAACTCAGAGTGATGCTGGGTTTATGTGATGGAGAAGGGTGGATTGTCCCCAGCTCACAGACCTGTCCAGAAACATYGACCTTCATCCCCTTCCCCTCATTTTCCCCCTCTTCTCTTTGATCTGCTTCCCCATAAAGTCCTGCTCTAGGTCCTGGAGAGATCARCTGCTCCTGTGATCCCCTGGTGAGAGGGACAGGTGGGGTTTAAAGGTGCCACAAACCCCACAGTTCCCCAGGTTTCAAACGCAGCACCCTTCCCAAAAGCCCTCAGGTTTGCTCCTGGGGACCAGAAAATCCCTCTCCACTCCTTAAATCCCCCAAATTATCTGACAGAACTGAATCAGTAATTTTTTTTTTTTTTTGGCTCAGGAGCCATTTGGAGGGGAGTGGGAGATGGATGGGGTTCTCCTCCACACCCGAAACATGTCCCACGTGTGGAATGAAGGCAAATCCCCCCAGTACCACAGGGAATTTGGGACACCAGCACCTATTGCTGTGTCCCAGAGGGACTTTATCCCATTCTGCCACCCCCGAGGCTCCTCCTGGGCACTTCCAGCCCTGTTAGCAGCTCCCTCTCACCTCGGACACGCTAATTATGGAGCTGATTGGAACAAGGGAGCTGTACAGACAATTTCCCACGGAGAGGGGCAGAGGGAAACAGAGATGAAGGGATGGGGCGGGAGCCAGAGGGAGGAGGATTGGGGAGGGTTACAGGGAGGACTCCCACCAGCTGCCATTGTGGTTAAATTTAAAGTACACTTATTGTGAGGAGAGACATCAGGGTTTTCTCATCCCACGCATTTCTTCTGCAGCCAAGAAGGAGTTGAAGTCTTGGAAATCTGCAAGCTCCTTCCAAGCCTCCAGTGAGTGCTGGAAGTGAGGGGAGGAGACCCAAACATCCTCTGAAATACCCATTCCCACATCTCTCCCTGCYCTGGAAGTCATATCCCATTCTCTGAGGCTTTTTGGGGTGGGTCTTTACACCTTCTCCCACCCTTCTTTCCTCTGGACCTCCTTCCATCCAGGGTAAGATCCCCTTTTAGGCTGAMCTAGGACAAGATTAGGTCTGRAACTGGATGATTTTTAAAGTCTTTTACAACCCAAACCATTCTATGATTCTGAAAAAACAGGACATGAGCAGATCTGGTTGCTCATCCAACATTTTTCCAGCTTTATCTCCATCAACACTTTGATTTAGACCCCATCAGGGTCGATAGTTATTGGCAAATAAATAAAAATCCCAACCTGTACAGCTTGCTGCCCCAGGAAAGCAATAAAGGCAAGGCCCAGTGACCCAGAGATGCAGGCATCTCATTATCTATAGAYAATTATCCGTAGATAATGAGATATCCGAGCCCCAGCGAGAGCAGAGTGGGAATAAATTCCCAGGGGAAGTGAAACATCATCCCYTTCTGAGCCAGAATCGTGGAATTGAGCAGACCCCACCAGCCAAGAGYGTTTCTCTCTGCTAAACCATTCCCTCAGCAAGCTGCTCTCCAAGGAACACTGAAAACAAAACCAATCCTGTTCTCCCAGGAGGAGGAATCCAAAAATAACCCTKTGGATGAATGAGCAGCACAAAGCCAACTGCTGAGGCTCGGGTCGAGTTTGGGAGCTGAACGCTTTCCAGCTCCACGTTCCCACTTGAATTATTGCTCTGGCATTCACATGCCGTTCCTGTGCTTAAAAAAAAAAAAAAAAAAAAAAAAAAAAAAAAAAAAAAAAAAAAAAGCCACGGTGTTTCTTTTTGCTTTTGTTTCCCAGTACGGGAGGTGAAATCCTGCAAAACCCCGGGGGAGGATGCGGGAAGGAAGAAGGCCCTCGGAGTGGCCCACGGGCGGATGGAGCCCATCCAAAGCTGAGGAAAACCAGCAGGGCACAGGCTCAGAGTCCATGGTTCCAGCACTGGATTCCACAGCCAGACTCGCTCAGCTTGGCATGTTTGGATGCTCCCTCTGTGGGAAGTCCTGAGGTGGTGGTGATGCCTCAGGATTTTTAGTTTCTSTATTTTCATGACTCCCTATTCCTGTACTTCTCCAGTGCACAGCACTAAAATTGCTGTTCTCCCATCTTTAGACAAAACAATT